ACCTGATTGGCTACGTTGCAGCAATAAATTTGCAGCTCACTTTTGTCTGCAAAGGAAAATCATACTCCTGGAGCTGCTAGAAGTTATGGAGTGTTTCCTGCTGTAGGAAATAACAGCAGGACGTGGATGTTCAAAAAGCTGGGAGCAGTGTCTTCCACAGGAACTTCTTGATGAGGCTGAGTGGCCACAAGGTGACTTGTGCTGGCACTGGTGAAATACTGCAAAGAAGCAGAAACCATAGGCCTTGAAGGCTCAGAGCAGTCTGTCCCTGGGAACCATGCAAGGGTGGCTTTATAGCAAAATGGAAACTAATCCAGACTAGTGAGTCTGGGATAGACCTTCTGCTGGAATACTCTTGTGGGCTTCTCATCACCCTTGCTGGGGAAAGTAGGGAGATAAAAGCAGATAAAGAAAGTTACTAAAAAAATGAAACTCCTTCCACATGAGCACGGATTGCAAGGAACACAATGTGACAGTTTACAGGGAAGATACATGGGGAAGGGATATGAATTAGACAGAACTATAACTTTTGTAGGAAAAACTATATATTTCAAAGTCTAAGCCAATGCCTAACTGACAAAGATAAGAAGGAAATTCCTTTCTGGAGAGGTTATTCCACAACTGTCCAACATAAAGATTATTTAACTTAAAGATCTAGCACTGTTAGAGACAAGCTCTCGCACAGCATTTGTCAGCCCCAGTATCTAATCAGTCCCATTTTTTTAAATGGGAAGCCTGGGGATCAATCGGCCCATCAGCGTATGTCCACTAGAGCACTGTCTGACCACTGTGGTGTTGACTGCTCAGGCCTCAGCCCTGCCACCAGCCCAGACACAGCTGCTTTGTCTCAGTGACGTGGGGGCAGTTTACCATCCTCTCACTCTTACTGCCTGTGTGATTTTTCTCTTCACTTTCCAGACCAATTCTGCAAAATGACTGAAAGTAATGGGTTTTTTTTAAGAAAAATCAGACTAGAAACTCTACCCTAATCAGACTAGAAACCAGAGGTAGGGTTACATGAAAGGAACAGTTAAGTCAGAACTGAATTGTGGCCACTGGGGACGGTGTGACATGGAGCCAGAGGTGGCCGAAGGGCAGCTACATCTTTACTTGCATCACCACCATCCTCTCCTGCAGGGTGAAGCTCTTTCTTGCTGCAGATAGGTATTGTAACTATTGTACTTTGAGTTAACGTGAGTTTGAATGTGTAAGTCCTAGGTCATGTCCTTCAGTGAATGTTTTCAGAACTGGCCATCAGGATTGCATACTAATACTGAAGACAACTATGAGGAAAAAGGGAAGCAGATTCATGAAGGTTTGTGTGATTTAAGTGGATGGGCAACAGATGAAAAGCATTATTTGCTGCAGCAAATGTTAGATGGCAAGTGTGGGAGAAAGGAGCAGGTCTGAGGAATCCCACTTAGGCAGAACCACAGCACAGCTTCTTGAGCCTCAGTGGATGAGGGGATCATTAACCCTGTCAGCCTGCACAGAGGGGCAATGCCAGAGAGAATTTTGCATGTAGAACATGAGTTCTTTATGTTTCCCAGGTGTCTCCTGTGTGCATGTTGTGCTAGTCAGCCCTCAGGAGGTTGCAGAAAGGAGGTGAACTGGGGTGGTTAGCATTGTGATTAGACTTAGAATATTACCTAATTTAAAGCATGTTAAACTGTGCTTGGACATGCAACAGAAATGTTTAGGTCTAGTATATCATTGGCTTTCTTAGCTAAGAATGTCCCAGAGAGGTTATCAGAGCTCATCTCCACTACTGGTGGCATTAGGAAGGTGCAGAGAGCAAGCAAAGGACTATCATTGCTGGGGTCTTAAATATGCTCTCAGTGCATTTGAACATGGCACATTAAATGTTGAGGACCCTCAGGAGCCTTGTCAGTGCTCTGGCTCTCATCACAGTGCCACGGACAGTGCTTAACAGGAAGAGTGATGCTGAGAAACCTGGCAAGAGGGACCAGTACTGACTCTGCCTTCCCTGCCCACCTTCAGAAGGCACAGGCCTGCTCCAGGCAGCATCCACTCCTCCTGTGAGAGGGCCACCAGCCAATCCAGAAGAGAGGGGTGAGAAGAACCAGGATGGTTGTCCTTTGGTGTCCTGGCCTATGCCTGAATCCAGCTGATGAGCTGCACAGTTCATCCATGTAGAGAAGGCAGAGGTGAAAAGCAGTCACTTTTCCCAAGGACTGAGAGCAACTCCTTTACAGTCAAACTCTGCTGGTGCAGCTCTGTTTTGCTCTATAGTTCAGGCTGTTCCTGATAACTTTCTGTCCCCGTGTTGTATTGCAGGGGTTGTGTTTCCGCATCCATGAGCCTTCACCTTCCACACACTTTATTTTGGACAAAAATATGCAAATTATCCCTCTCATCTGAAGAGAAAGCCATCTGCCAAGCAGCAAGGTATTGGCAGCCTTTTTATGTTCTGTGCAGTGGCACTTCTTTTTTTCTCAACAGCTCCTGTCTCCATTGCAAATGCTGCCACTCACACTTGGTTAATTTGTCTTTGTCAGCAAGCAGCAAAACTGACTGGCTCTAGTAGGGCCAGACGTGTTTATCTGACCACTGCATCTTTTAGCAAGCAGCCTGTTGTTGGTGACTTTTCTGTTCACTTTTACCCACTGAAGACAAAAATTCCTAATGAATTGTTACTCCTCTTGTGGCCAAAATGAAACTATCTGAAAAGTAAACATGTTTGGTGTTTACATGAGGCAAAACCCAGCTCAGGAAAGGAACAGTTCAAGCACAGGCGGCTGCAAAAACGAGGAAAATTCCCTTGTGAGACAAGAGTTCCCAAGTCAAGAAAAAATGATGCAAGCTTGTCCCTTTAAACATGTGCGTAAGCACTGTCCCAAACAAGGATTGCTTCCCTGGAACTAGCTCTTCAACAGTTAAGTTAAACAACTCCCATTTAGGACTAACTTGGATTATTATAATAAGGGAGACTCAGCTGCCCCCAGGACCTGCAGTGGGGGAGCAGGGAAGGAAAGAAATTGTAGGCTGAAGGGCTCTCCTCGTCAGTCCACAACCTTCTTCAGCAAGTGTTGAAATCAGTGCACTGCAAACATGCTGTGAGTGCTGGTCATATGCAGACTGGTAGGTGTGGGGTTCCTGCTCCCATCCTGTGGGGGCTGGCTGGGAGGGAAGGGGCCAGTACTCAAGGCTGAGGCAGTAGATGTCTGTGTTGCAATGAGATCTCTCAGCTCTGCACACTAGAGAAAGGGAAATGAAAAAGGGGAAAACAGTGGAAGACAGAGCAGGGAGAGCTCTCTTTCTTCCAACCCCCCGGCAGAGAAGGGGAAATGGCACTTTCCCATCTTCCCCAGGGCAGGGAAGGGCTGCAGGAGGAACCATGTGCTGGACTGGACCTTGCTTAGCCAGGTCATCCACCTCTTCTGGAATCCCCCCAGTTTGCCCTCTCCCTTCCCTCAGGATGCAGCAGTTGTGAGGGAGCTGCCATGCCCTGAAGGCAGCTTTTCTGATTTGCTAGAGAGAGATATTATTTGTCAACCACACTGGGATACCTGCAGCTTAAGGCCCTAGAAAAGTCTGTCCTATCTGATGTAGGAAGGTGAAGGAATGCATATGGAAAAAATATATATCAGCTCATATTTCTCCCTTCCCCCCAAGATGAGGTGCCAAGATTAAATAAATACTGGGGTTATATGCAAAGGTGTATAAAAAGTATTCTGCCTCTATGAAAACGAAAATAATGAAAGAACAACAGAATGAGAAGAGTAGGAATGAAGATACGTGTGCAGTGTTCTGACAAGCCAGGCTGTTACATATTTCTGTGGGACAACTTGGGCAGATTATATCCTATATTGAATGCAGCAGTTCTGGTGCCCTGTTCCTGCACAGTCCCAGCTCTCCACAACTGAATTCTCTTTCTCTTGCTGAGATACAGATAAAGAGGACAAGGCCGGAAGTAGTGATGCTGAGACCCTGTGGATGATGAATAGTGTGAATGGTCAGTTGTGAAAAAAAATGAAATTGGCAAATGCTGAATAGAAACAACGACTGAAAAGCTGGGGGAAGGAAAACAAGGTAGGGTAGATGGTGCCTCTTTGTATAGCTGGGCTGGTCAGAGAGGCGGCACTATTGCTTAGCTGGGTAGTACTGCTCAGTCTGGCTGGTTTGCTGACTTCTCTTGGGATATTTTCTTTCTAAAGAAAAATGAGCATTTCTATGCTGAAAGGGTTTAGAACAGCCCTGGAGCATCTAGAACCTATGGCAGGTTCTAGATGGTCTTGTAGTTTTTCCCAGGCGCAGGACCGAGAAGCGGGGACTCCGCACAGAGCGGGCTGGCTCGGGCACGGCTGTGGCGGCACCGGGTCCTGGCGTGCGCGGGGTGCGGGGGAGGCGCGGGGAGGAAAGTGTGGAGGGGCGCAAATAGGAGCGGGGGCAAGGTGCGCACCCTGTCGGGCGGTGCGAGGTGCCGGGGCGCCGTGGTGAAGAGGGGTCCAGGGATGCCAGACCGTGCTGGGGATGCCGCCTGCAAGAGCACTGGGGTGCCGAGGGGTGGCGGGTGCGGAGTCCCGGGGTGCAGGATGCGGAGATGCCGGGCCGCGAGGTGCGGGACGCCGCGCCATGGGGTGCGGGCTGCGGGCTGCCGAGGTACGGGATGTCGGGGTGTCCCGGCTGGTCCCACCCCTGCGCGGCGCTCCCCGCCCCGCGGCCCCGCTCCTCCGCCCTCCCTGACGTGTGGCGCTGGCAGCCCGGCCGGTTCCGCATTCCCGACCCCTCCCCGCAGCCCAGGGGCCGCTATATAACCGGGGCTGATGCAACCCACCCCGCCGCCTGCCACAGCCTGCGGGAGGCGCGCACCGGGGCGGCGGGGGGCGGCGGCGGGCCAAGGCGCCCCGGCGGCTGCCGGCACCGACATCGGCACCCGGCGGGGCCCGGGGGTCGGGGCAGCGCCTCGCAGCCGGGCGGCGGAGGCGGCGAGGCTGAGACCGCAGCCCGCGCCCGGCCCCTGTGGCCGGGCCCCGCGGGCACTCCGGCAGCCGGGTCCCCCTGCACGGTGGGTGTGAGCGCGGCCGGGGGGCTCGCCGGGTGGGCCGGGATTGCGGCCAGGGGCGGGCGGCGGCGCGGGGCTCCGCGGGGGTGGCGGACAGTGGCGGCCGCGGAGGCTGGGGCGGAGGGCAGCCGCAGGAGCATCCCGGCATCTCGCGGCAGCGGGCAGGGTTCTGCCCTCCGGGCGGTCGGGCGCACCGCGGAGATGCGCGGAGACGCGCGGAGACCCTTCGCGGCGGTGGGCACAGCCGCATGGGCGGCTCAGAGCAGCGCTGCTGCCCCCGCACTGATCAGCTGCGGGGCGGCCTCCCCTCGCTGTCGGGCGCCCGCCTCGCCTCCGCTTCACCTGCCGGCCGGGCGCGCAGGTGAGGGGCGCGGACTCCCCGCGGCCGCCGGTCCGTGCCGGGGAGGCGGGTTGTCGCTGAGCCGTGCCCCCAGCCCGCGGGGCCCCGGGAAGGAAAGGGGCCCTAGAGGTGCCCCCACCGCGCGGTCCCAAGTCCGCTTTAGCAGTCAGGCATGGAGTTGAATGGAAGTTGCATTCTTTTGCACGGTCTGCTCCAGGAGGCACTTTTCTTTTTCCATGGAAGGGAAATAGGTTTGAGAGCAAATTGGGGGAAAGGGAGAAATACCAAGGGAGCAAGAGCCACATTATGTTTCCATTTTCCTTTAATGAAGGCCCTGTGGAGGTGTATTTGAAAACACAGGGTCTCCTATGCCTTCAAGGAGGGTGAGAACACTCTGCTGGCTGGTTCCAGAGCCATATGCAGCGTATGGTGGCCAATGAAACGGGGCCTGGCTCGTTCTCTTGCTTGTCTTGGCAGCCTGCTCCATGGCTTGCATTACCAGCCCTGGAACACAACCACTGCCAAACTGTGAGTGTGTGTGTGTGTTTGGACTCCGAGAGCTCAGCAGAAACAAATGCTTCTGCAGCTCAGACCAGGATTTTTTAGCTAGTTTTGAGAAAATTTGCATGAAAAACTCTATCTGGAGGCTCTTACCAGAGTCTGCACTGGGAATTTGTTGGTGAATGCTTGTGTGGGGGCATCTGGGAATGCCAGTCATTGGAGTTCAGATTCTTAGTATGACTCCTAGTGACTGAAAAAAGCAAAAATCTACCCATCTGGGGGCTGAGTGTGTGGGTGCAGGAGCTGCTATCCATACCATCCCTGTGTCATGCAGCAATTGGTTATTCCTGGGGTCTGGGGGATTAACAAAATCTGCTGAGTTAGTGTGCAGGTTGCTGCCTCTGTCTCTTCGCTGAGACACCTACGGATGCTTTTCCTGCATTTTCACAGTTGAGCATTTCCCTCCTTATAGGATGCAAAGGTCTTTGTGCTCTGTTCCTTGCCAAGGAAGAGTAAATACTCCCTCACACCCCTTGTCTCCTCTTGCCTTCTCCTTCAGCTAGGCTGCTCAAGCACAGGCAGTGTTGAGCATCTGCTTTGTGATCTCCTTCTCTGTGCTAGCGTTTGCTACTTCAGCTGCATTGCCTGGGCCAGGTACTTGGCAGCATGCAGTGTCTTGAGTGTGAAGCTGTTAAGAGGCTTGTTTTCACTGCAGTGGGCTTTTTGTGGTGGGCCTGGCCCCAAGAGCGAAGGAGGCAGAGCCATGGTGAGTAGCAGGGACTCCTTGCCAGCATGTGTGTGTCCTGCAGTACCAGTGCAGCAAGGAAGGGCACAGCAAACCTGATGCCATCTGGTTTTGGTTGCATTTCTCAGTTGCTTGGACTGTCCAAAGTATCACTCCAAACATCACTGGCTATTTTAACCGGCAGCCAGGGAGCTGAAAGTCCATATGGGCCTCTCAGCTGAGCAGAGCTGTTGCAAACTAGCTAGAGCTGGTCTTTATATGGATTAGAGGTCTTTGTGGATGACCCTGGAATTCAGGGCATAATTTTGAAGAGTTTGTAGAGGGTGGTCTTTCATCTCTGATGCCATCCTTGTTCCCTGAGGGCAGAGCTCTGTGCTGGAGTAGGGCTGACTTCTTGAAGCAGATTCTAACCCTGACCACATGTGGTTATGGGAGGTCCTGGGGAATTTCAACAAGTAAATTGTTAACCTCAGTGTCTGAGCTGCAGCCTTTCCCAGACCAGGATATTCCTTCCTCCTCAAATCTCTTTGACCTGTTTCAGGTAGAAATACGTTAGCTTTTACCTTTCTGCTCCATACTGCCATCCTATGGTGGTGCAACCCCAAATAATTAATTGCAATCTCAATTGATTGAGATAATGTGATAATCAATGGCATTTTTTTTTCAGTAATTGCAGTAGAGGAGCCTTGCTATGGTAGGTGCTATACGCAACTCTGTTGTCACAGGTTGCTTGCAAGTCAATCGCTGCATTGCAGTGGTTGGAGCAGCAAAACTAGAGCTTTTTACTACCTGATGAAGATATGGAGGAAAATGCTCAGGGAGAAAGAAGGACTGAGCTGACTCTTTTCTAATGGCAAAGGAGGGTCATTTCTAAAGCTGAGGACTAGAGAACCACCATCCCCCTTCCTCATAACAAAGGGTAAGAAGGCAAAGCATTAGACAGGCAGCTGTGGGGTCCTAATGGTGGTACTCAGCTGGATGGGGGGGCTGCAAAACAGCATTTCTGCCAAAGAGAGGCTGTCTGCTCTGGGCTGCCCCATGAGAACAGTGTAGGGAGCTGTGAGCTTCCCCAATAGAGGAGAGGAGGAAGGGCAGCAAGACTCTCTCTGCATTCCTGTTTTTAGAAAGCTTTTCATAGCTTTCTGTCTGTGAATGACTTGGATGTTCCTCCTGCCAGCTAGATGTGCAGGACTGAGCCAGAATGTTCCCACTCATGAAATGGGTTTAGAATTCCATCTCCTGAGGTACAGTTCTTCACAGCTCCTTCCTCTTGTTAGCATTGTGGGCTCTCTTTAGTATTTAGAACTGGGGGTTGAGACGTTACATGAACGGGTGTTCATGAACACTGCAACCTTTCTCCCACCACATCAGGTTGCCTGTGGGAGAAAAGGAACAGCAAGAGCGGCAGCCAGAAGTGTCTGTGGGAAGGGCACAGATGCATCTTTGGCCCTGCAAATCCAGAACGTGGATTGTAGGAGCTGTCTCTCCCTCTTGGGATGGAAGTGGAGTGTGGAGGTAGTGAGGTAACTACAGTGTCTAGCATACTGAGGTGGTGTGCTCCACCCTGGTCCAGTTGATAGGCTGTGCAATCATCGCGCCTTTAACTGGCCTTTAAATAAAGGGCAATTTTCCTGATGGCATTAAACACTCAATAATGTTAGGTCCTTGGTAAAGGGAGAGCACGCATTTTTATCCCAGCAGGTGTCACTACAGCTCTTCAGTATGCTACAGGTGGTGGGTTCCTTGGCATCAACTGGTTCAGCAAATGAATGAATACTCAGTGGCTGTTGGTGAAGTTCATGTTTACCAGCACTACTGCCTGGGTATCTAAAAAGACTGGCTACCCCCAAAGGGCTTGTCTGCTGTTATGTTCTGATGGTTGGCAAATAACTCTGACAGTGAGCAATGTGCCCCTTGGCATTGGCACTTCAAGTTACTGCTTTTAACAGTGCAGTACAGAAGAAACTAGACAGAAGAGAGATGACCTGCTGTAAGGTGCTACTCAACTAGATGCATCTAGAGCAGATAGCAGCGGTGTGGGAATGGGAGAGTATCACATTTTAGACAACAGAGGAAAGCTATAATTGCATGGCAAGGTACTGGTGGCACTAGGAATATGGAGTCTTTCTTCCTTCAACTTGGTTGTGCTGAACTTCGTGCTCACTGGGAGCTGAACCTTGAGATGGAAGAGGGTCTGTAGGCTACAGTGCCACTCAACACCCTGCAGTCTCCTCAGACAGAAGAGTCCAGATAGAACAAAGCAAGTGGCTCAGTGATTCAGAGAAGGAGTTGTATCCAGCTGCCCTGTCCTTGTTTAGGAAGTTACATTGTTGGGGCATGAGAAGTTGGGTATGTCGGGAAAGGGCTTTCCTATAAATCATCCTTCTGCTAACAGGAGGAACTAGAAAGATGCAATGTATGACACACAGGCTGAGTTAATTTGATAGCCAGGAGTTAAAAAAAGTTTAAAAATGGCAATAAAGCTGTAGTAGAATCCAAGGAACCAGAAGTTGCTTCTCATGGATAGTAGCACTGCTTCTGATCTCCACAGCAGAATTGTTATTGCCTACTGGTGAGGAGCATATGAAAGGCCAGTTGCTGTGGCTTAAATGCTCCAAGATGGTACATACAAAGGGTGATAGTGTATCAGGTGCTAACACACTGATGAAGAGATCAGTGATTGCTTGTATGGTTGCTTGCAGACTTTGGCAGTGTTCTGTGTGGCAGCTGACAAGTAATAGCAGGCGCTCAGGTTGAGCCTGGAGTGAAAGAATAGCAGGCAAGCATGGCCTTGGTTCTGCAGGCAGCACGGAGAAGGGCTGGTAGGACAGACTATGCCTTGGTGCAGTGCTTAACATGGGGAAAAGAGAAACATGCTGGTATATACAGAGTGTCAAGAGTCTGCTGGCTGGCAATATTAGGTGCTAGACTGGTTCTCTGAGCATCAGAAGGGTACTTGGATCAACCACTGCAGATGTCAGCACATGTAAAATAGCTTATGTTGTAAGAAACTGTGATTTTATTGTAAACAGCAAAATTGAAAATAAGGTTGCCCTCAAGTCTTGGCCAAGGAAGTTGACACCAGAGATAACACAGTAGTGGCAGTTTAAATTGAAAAGTGACTGTCAGAGCCTGCTTTAGGATGTCATAGTCCTCTCTACAGGATGATGCTGTTGATGCAACTGTAGCACTCGCATTAGGTTTGTACAGAAACAAACAGCACCTCTGGATATGCGAGGATGCATGGGATGGTCCTGGGGGAACAGTGGATATGAACTGAGGCAGTCTCTGCACAAGGAAATGAATGTAGGATTTCAATACAGGTAGGCACTCCTGTGCCAGTTTTAGTCTGTGGATAAGAATAGCAGTGAGGGGGTGGCAGGAGGGGTGTGCATACAGGCTAACAACGAGAGTACA